CATGAGAGCTGAGATGGACTCAATGGAGACCAATGGAGTCCGGACTCTAGTAGATCCGCCCTCCGGGGTAAAAGCAATTGGTTGCAAATGGATTTATAAGAGGAAGAAGGGCTCCGATGGTAAGGTTGAGACCTACAAGGCTCATCTTGTGGCGAAAGGGTACACTCAGAAAGAAGGAATCGATTATGATGAAACCTTTTTGTCGGTGGCCATGCTTAAATCCATTATGATCCTGCTAGCTGTAGCAGCGTACCATGATTATGAGATTTGGCAAATGGATGTCAAAACTATATTCATAAATGGAGATCTTAGTGAAGATATCTATATGCAACAACCACAAGGTTGCATGGTTGTGGGTCAGGAACACATGGTTTGTAAACCAAACCGATCCATATATGGACTTAAGCAAGCTTCTAGGAGTTGGAGCATCCGGTTTGACTCTACCATCAAATAGTTTGACTTTTAGCAAAATTCTGATGAGCCCTGTGTTTACAGGAAATCCAGTGGGGATAAGGTTACGTTCCTGGTTCTGTATGTAGATGACATTCTATTCATTGGGAATGATGTAAAAATGTTGACTACAGTGAAAGTATGGCTTTCACAACAATTCTCCATGAAAGATCTTGGAGAAGCCTCCTACATACTAAATCTTTGGCTCTATAGAGATAGATCGAAGAGGATAATAGGATTATCCCAATCTACTTACATTGACAAAATAGTCAAGAGATACATAATGGAGAACTCCAAGAAAAAAAATGTTCCTTTCAGGCATGGAGTCACTCTCTCCAAGGGTATGTCTCCCAAGACTCCCGAAGAGGTTGAGGGCATGAAGGACGTTCCCTATGCCTCAGCCAGAAGGAGCATCATGTAAGCCATGCTATGCATTCATCCTAACATCTCTCAGGCTGTGAGTGTAGTAAGCAGATTCCAGTCAAACCCAAGGCAGGAGCATTGGACTGCTGTGAAAAACATACTAAAATACCTTCGAAGGACAAAAGAGTTTTGTCTGGTATTCAATGGTAGTTCACTACAGATCCAGGGGTATACTGATGCCGACTTCCAGTCAGATCCAGATGATAGAAAGTCTACATCTAGTTATATTTTCACGATAGGATCGTGTGTTGTTTGCTAGAAAAGCAGCAAACAGGGGTCCATGGCGGATTCCACAACCGAAGCTGAATACATTGCCGCAAGTGAAGCTGCCAAAGAAGTCGTATGGATGAAAAAGTTCATTCACGAATTGGGAATAGTTCCATTCCATTATTGTGTGACAAGACTGGAGCCATTGCTCAGGCTAAGGATCCACGAGCCAACTCGAAGTCGAAGCACATCGAGAGGAAGTACCATGTACTGCGGGAGATAGTTGGAAGAGGGGACGACCTAATTTAGAAGGTAGCATCAGCGGAAAATGTAGCAGACCCATTGACTAAGCCACTAACACAAAAAGTGTTTGAGAAACACGTGGAAAGCATGGGACTCTGGCTTATACCAGATTGGACCTAAGTGCAAGCGGGAGCTATTAGACAGTGTATGCCCTTAGCTCTAATCAGAATGATGTACATTATGACTTTCAATGTAAATAAATATAGTACATATTTGATTCATGTTATTATGGTGTGTTTCTGTGTAATACCCTTAAACTGGACACATATGAGACTCGTGTTAGTTTAGAATCTTCACAGTCGTTGGATAAATCTAAGGAGATTTATCCTGCCACGGTTGACACTGATGTGTCGTCAGGTTGGTTGGGGTGGCTTGTCTCAGCTTCCAGGGTAACCTGAGGTACATGCAATGTGGGTTTTCTTGAAACCCTGAACCGGACCAGAATTCCAGTATTGCCCTGGACCTTGGAGATAGATGGGCAAAACTAGAATGTTACACCTGACCCCTAGACTCGATTATGATAATACACTAGGTGTCGGATTGGGCTGTCTTTGATATGCCAATCAGTGAGATTCTTAGAGGGGGTCAAAAACCTGGGAATGTTGGGACAATCCAAGAATTCATCTGAGTGGGTGATCATAGTGATAGGATCAGCCCCTTTGTCGGACAAAGTGAATGATCAGGGATGCACTCTCTCTCATGGAAACCTAAACTGTCGGCAGTCGATTTCATTCGTTGAAAATTGTTTTGCAAAATATACTTATATATATATATATATATACATATTATGATTTCAAAATGTTTGCAAAAGGTTTTAATTCCTATGATCCATGTGAGTAGAGAGTGCAGCACTGTACCTTGCAGCCGAGGGAGAGGTCATCTCTTGTCGAATAGTGTTTGGTCATTATGGGCTGAGAGGTTAAGTGTAAGACCATTGAGGGTAATACTTGATGGGCTAATTTTGCATCTGCCTCAGTCATTGGGTTTTTATAAGGTGGCTTGACCCAAGGACCATTTAGTGTAAATGTTGGTCCATTAAGAGCCCATGGTGATGGACTCAGGGGTTCACTGTCTCCTACAGTGAATTCGACTAAGCCTTGAAATAGAGGTTGGGCTAAACCCATGTGGCTGATGTGTAGATCAATGTTTGGGTCCCACACAATACAAGGATATCTAACTGGGCAGAAGTTTGTAGGGTAAGTGAGAAGATGGACTTAATGGGCCTAAAGCCCAATTCGAACTGGCTTAATGAGATTAATTAAAAGGGGGCAGTTCTGGGATTTAGATCAGCATATAGGATAAGGGATTATCCCTATCCACTCAGAGAGTCTAGATCCAAATAAAAATTTGGATCAGGAAACTTCTAATTAGATTAGGAGGGTTGATCTTTATCTACAGATAAGATAAGGGATTATCCTTATCTCTTTAAAGAGAGTCCAGATCCAAATACAATATTTGGATTAGGAAACTCCCAATGGGATTAGGAGATGATCTCCTTAAAGGCTATAAATAGAGGAGTAGGGAGACCCTCCAATACACAATTCTCAGTTCAGAGATAACAAAGAGAGAAGAACCTACAGTTCGACTACTCCTGTCTTCTGCTCTTTCCTGTTCCTGCCACCATACCAGTTCGTTCTCCACCTATGGAAGCGATCAAGAAGTGTTCTTGATATTACTTTTTGGTAGAAAAGGTAATCAGAAGTCGTGCTCACTAGCCCTCCATCATATTCTTGCTGAAGAGCCATCATACTGATTCCGCTTCATCTTGCATCGTGTCATCTTTGGTGGAAGCAGTCTTTGGATCTTTCCTTGGGCGTGAACACCTTCATTGGAGGTTTTTGTTACTTCGTATCAGGTATAACCCTCCACTCCCTTTTGGTTTTAGATCTGGTCTGGTAAGTTCAAGATTGATCATTGAAAATGCAGTTTTCTAAAATAGGGAATGTGATTCACCTGTGAAAAAGAAATTTTTGAATTTTCGCCCAACCTTCCTACATGGTTCGGCCATCCATATGATGAATCTCTCATCCCTTCATTATCATAGTGATTCTTGGTGCAATTTGGTTGTTGATAGATGATGGTTAAGTGTTGGTTTAACTTTTGGATAAAGGTTCTATAAAGTAAAAGGGAAATTTCTTTTACTGTGAATGTCCAATTCATCTGCCCAATGACTAAGTATGAATTGCCTGCCACCATAATTTTCTCTACACCCAATTCTCTCGCTATGGTCAATCCTAGAACAAGGGATTCATATTCTATAACATTATGTAAGCAAGGGAATTGATGTTTAAAGGACTAGGCTATGGTTTTCCCAATTTGTGAGGTTAGGGTTACTCCAGCTCCTATGCTAGAATTAGCGTAGCTTCCATTATCCATCTTCAACAACTGTGATTAGGGTAGGTCCTGGTATCTCCTCTGAATCTTCTAAAGGACTTCAGTGTGATCATTTTTTTTTGTTTTTACCACGATGTCTTCCACATAACATTCAATCTTCTTGTGAATCATATCGTGGAAAACACAAGTCCATCACCCTTTAGTAAGTTACCTTATTCATCAACCTAAACGACATTGCCTAGTAATAGAAGTTCCCCATAGATGTTTTGAAGGCTATAGGAGGAGCATGTAAGGAGCCCATGAATCCTGATTTTGACCACTGTAATCATCTAGGAAGAAGAATAATTCGTTGCCTTTTATTGCATCTGAGTATCTCTATATTAGGTAGTGGAAACACGTCCTTAAGGCAGACCTTATTGAGGTTCTGGACTTGACGCAACACCTATAAGGGATTGGTGATATCTAAGGTTAGTTTCAATACAATGTAAATCGGGGAGATGTTTTCTAGTGTTTGTAAACTATCTTGAGTTACTTCTTCATAGGGACTATGTTACCTAACCACTTAAGCCAAGAATCCGTACCTTGGGATTTTTGCATGGACACATGGTGAAACCTACTTGTGCTTGTTTATTTTAGATATAACAAAATAACAAACTTTCTTGTTTGAAAAAAGTTTCCTTCCTTTCTACACGACTAGCGTCTATAAATAGAGGCCTGAAGCCCTCCTTACCTGAAACTTTTAGAACCATTTTGTAAGCTCTATCGGACTGAAACCCTAGCCTACCTAAGCTTCCTTGCAACGTCTCTCCTTCCTCTCATAGAACCATCTACCATCCTTCAAGTAGACCCTTTTGTTGCCTTACCCACCCTACTCACCCCTTTTGTTTCCATACCTAAGCTTCCAAATGTTTTGCAAGGAATCATCCATTGAAGATAATGAATCATTTATTTGTTCTGAATTGCTCGGCTTGAAGAGTTTTGGAAACATTTTAGTATGATTATGAGGATGGACTATAATGGGAATGAATCTATTCATGCCTTGCTACTGAGATGGTTTCACTTTGGCAAAGCTTTCTCAACATATATGTTACAAGGTGGGTATGAAAACTTGTTTTGTGACATGGGAGTTATGACAACCCTGTGCATTTGGGGCTCCTGCCAATGTGAGGTATAGGAAGGAACGGATGTACACGGCCTTACCCCTACAGATAAAGAGAGAGGTTATTCCCAAACTCCAATATTTTGAATAGAACCCGACCGTTGCGCCAGAAAAGAAATAGGAATTAATTTGAAGAGGACATTTATCACAATAATTAACTTCAATGGGAGTAACCCAACCGTTGCGCCAAAGAAGAAATAGGAACCGTTGCTAGGTTAAATTACCTCAATAATTAACCTAGCAACTGATTATCACAGCTTTACTACAGAAATTTTCTAAAGCGTGTAGAGGATTTTGCTAGTCTTGCTCTTCCTGATAGTTTGGTTCGACTTAAAAGGAAAATTATCATTTACAGAAAAAAAAAAAAAATTACAAGGGAACAGATGGTCAACCAAGAAGGCACCCAATGTATCTCATGTAGAATATCTTCCAGTACCGTCAAATTGTCGCCTTATGATTTCAAGGACAAGTTCGTTCCATGTATCAACTGGACCCGGCATGCACCAGTGCAAACAATCCTGTGGCGGGGGCTTGCCATCTGGGCCACGTTTTGTGATCTTGTTTGGATCAGGGTTGCGATATGGTCCAGGGTGCCCATCATGACGGTATCCAAATGCTTTCGTGATATCCATCAACTTCAATTTCGAACGGTTTGATAACTTCTTGAGTGCACGATTGAAACCTACCACCTGTTTCTCATGCATCACATCAGTAAAACCATTTTGTACCAGTTCACCTTCCAAGGCAGGCTTTGTCTTTCCCGTGCATGACCCTCCTGTGTTCCAGGCTCCACCCTCATAATGATCAGGTGAATAGGAACGGACTATGGTCAGGCCTGTATAATTAGGGTGGGTTGCAATAGCGGTGAGAATTGTCTCAACAGAGATCCCAAAAGCTTCAACGTTATCAATTTTCTTTGGGCGGGACTTGTCTGGCCACCATAACTGTCCTCCAACGATCTCATTGTTGAATATGTAAACCGATTGTTTGGCAAACCAATGGCCAGAGGAGAGGACAACCACATCAAAGCTTGGGAGAAAATCCAAAAAATCTTCATCCGGTGCATCAAGGTGAAGCTTTACCACCCCCTCAGGAGCAAAGTCAAAAGGTTCTGAAGTTTTGTGGACTAGCCAGGATGACCATATCCGGACAATGGTAGTAGAGGTTGACTTGAAATACCAGCGCTGCATTCTCTTGTTGCCACGGTTTCTTGGAGCTTCAACCTGAATATGTACCAATGGAAGAGCAAAAATAATTATTTAGTTGTCTGAAAATGCAGAAACTTTCATTGATGCATATATAATAGTAAATCGGCTGTATAGGAAGGGTGTTTGAGTGATTACCTGCCAGAGGATGCATAGCATAGATTCCATCTGGTTCCGAGCAACTGAGTCTCCAATGAATGCTAGAGTCTTCCCTCTCATCAACTCCAGGAATTTGCTGGTATTGAACCGAGGGAGATCACACCCTGATGGTTTCCATCGCCAGTTCTCATAATCCTTGTCAGGCCTCCCATTTCCCTGGCAGTTCTGCATCTGTGTTAGGACAGGACAAGAGTTGTTCGTATATAAGGGCCCGGATGAATCATAGAACCATTTTCCATTGTACAGGTCGCATATCCCTAAATAATAAAATAAAGTTCAAATTTCAGAAACATTAATGTAAGAGACGAAATAGAAATACACCAAATATTTTGGCAAGAAAACGACAGACTTGAGGAATAATGACAGGTTCTGCTCAAAGTAAGTTTTTCTTCTATAAATAAACAATTATAATGCAATTGAAGCAGTGACTACACAGAAAACACGCACACACACAAAAAAAAAAAATACTAAATAAACACTTCAAATTATGCAATACCCAACCTGGATTTGAAGTGTGACATTGTAACGTAATGGCTAATGGCCAGAAGGGGTGATGGGGAGGGAAGATGCTATGTTCATTAATAATCCTATTGATTTGTATCGTCTTAACAGCTATGCATGATATAGTTGCATTAATTTTGCACCTTCTATTTAAAAATTTAAAATGACAAGAAAAAACACTAAGCAATGATTGTTAAGGTGCAACTCTATGTGACAGTGGATCACCTAGTCAACTAGGTAAATTGGGTCCTTTAAGCAATAATTGTTCAGGTGCAACTCTATGTAAGTTTCATTTGGAAACATGGAAACTTGTATAGCCTTATTTCTCTCTCTCAAAACCCTTGGGTCCTTTATGTTTCAGCAGCAACACCCTACTCTAGTGATACAAAAAGTATGATAAGATGATACCAATATGATGCATCCATGCTAATAATATTATAATAACATGTCAGTCCTGCAATTCTTTTAACCTAGACCACACCTTGAAAACCATGAATAAAGCATTATAAGCTATTCAGCTAGGAAAAAATATCCAAAACAATCATAATATGTAATTTCAATGGTTCCTGCGAAACTTTCATAGCTTCAAGGAAATAAATGAGAAAAAAATGGAAATGTTGGAATTGAATCACTGCAATTAATGAACAAATATATTATTTCTTTTTTTATCTCACATCTGTGGCACCCACAGTCGCTGCATCAACCGACAACCTCCAATACCAAAAGGGCCACATCACTCTTTTATCAGGTTTCAAATATTAATGAAGTTTGGGGCCTAAACGGTGCGGATCTAAAGAAAAATGAAATTTTGTTTTAATTTTATTTGGGTTACACAATCTTGAGAGAGACAGAGGGAGCAAATGCCATCTTCACTCGCTCAGTCTTCATTTTCCGGTAATTTGTTGGTGACAAATGGAGAGAGAGAGAGAGAGAGAGAGATCATCTTCACTTGCCGGATAATAATGAGAGAGATGGCATCTTCACTGACAATCATAAACATCATCTCACTTACAAAACACATTTTCTGGATGACTAACATCTATAATCTCTCCTGTTTTCTTATGTGAACAAAACAGTTTTTCCTTTCTATTAGAGCCTCCCTGTTCTGGATTACAGCAATTAAATCAGTCCTTACACTTATTATCTTAAACTGTCGTTTCACTCATTCTCTTCTCCCCACTCCCTCCCCTGAGCCTCCTCTCTATCTCTCTTTTCCCGTTTTAATCAATGTCGATAACAAGATCACCCATGAAAGGCCATCGGATGGGCAGCAAGATAATCCTATCAAGTGCATGTGGATTCAATATGGAGAGCATTCTCTTTTTTAAGTCCTTCAAATCCAAATAGCCTCTTATGGGAACTTTTCCTCTTCCACTACCTTTAGGAAGTTTCAGCTTTTCGTCATAGATGAAACAGTCGTTACCACCGTCCGTTGTCACCACCTTTCAGATTGCCAGAATTAAATGTCTGAGACATTTAAAACTTTTCATGTCTGAGATTCTGAGTGAAGTGTGAAGGTGAAGATGAACTCTGTCCCCAAGGACAACATTAACGTTTAGTTTAAATGTATTAATTTTATATGACGTGTTCAATTTGTATTGGATGTTCCCGGTTTATGCGGCGACCCCAGTTGCCACAGATGTAAGCTCTTTCTTTTCTTAACATGTTAGAAGCATTGATTGGATATAGCTTCAAAGCAGTGTTTCTCTGTACTGATGTACAACAAAGTAAGCAACAGAGTTTAGGGAAAGGCAAAGGAAACCTAGTTTCAAGTTATGAAAAAGATCTATCAATTCATTCTATGTTTTTTGTGGAGTTCCTGCTCAACTCAGGGGTCACTTCGAGGGTGACTCAATCTCCTTACAGAAGAGAGAGAGGGAAAGAGAGCAAAGTGAGAAAACAATGAAATTGAAGTAATCAATCTCTGCCCTCATTTACCTCGACCAAACCTTTTATCTTCCAATTACAATTTGAAATTCATCTAGAAGCTTCTAGATCTAACTGTCATGGAGTTAGATCTAACTTGCTGATATGGCTTAATCCACCTTGTATAGACAAGACATACGGGACGTGACTTAGTAAGTGGAGTTGTGGACTATGGGCTGGCATGTGTATGAGCCTGCTTCTGGGATTGGCTCTTAGGAACTGTAGGTGATTGAGCCAAGGTTCCTACCATTCTTCAACAAAGCAGACTGAAGGAATAGCATTTATGGTGGGAAGAAGGAAGACCTAGGGTGGGTGAAATGTAAAGGAACGTTGTTTCATAGGAAATTACAACTTTTAAAGGGAAGAATCAAGGAACAGAATATTGAACATTTTGGAACACTAGAAGAAAAGAAACAAAAGGTTTCTGATCAGATTGAAGGATTGGATGCAAAATAATCACAGGGCCTCTTTGAGGAAAGAGATAGAGAAATAAGGTGTTCACTGAAAAAAAAAAAACAATTGAAGGACGTCTTACTGAACAAGGAATTAGTTGGAGGAAAAAATTGAGGAATAAGTGGGTTAAAGAGGGTGACAAAAAGAAAATATTTCCATGTGATGGCCAATGGCCAAAGAAGGAAAAACTTTGTATCTAAATTGGAGACGGAAAATGAGGTGACTCAACCAAGGAAGATTAATAGGGCTTTTGTTGACCATTTTAAATCAATTTTCAAAAGGCCTATAAACAAAAGATGTTGGATAAAGGGTTGGACTGGCCTAGTCTCCCTAAGAATTTGAAGATTTGGATAAAAAGGTCCTTTGACTTTGAAGAGATAAAAGAAGACGTGTTTTGAATGGATAGGTCCAAAGCACCAGGGTCAAATGGATTCACTATGGCTTTCTACCAAGACTATTGGGATATTTTGAGGGGTGATCTTACAGAGGTTTTTAAGGAATGTTTTGAGAGGAGAATAATCAATCTAGGCTTGAACGCCACTTTTATTACACTAATCTCCAAAAGGAATGAAACTAATCACCCTAAGAGTTCAGACCAATTAGCTTGGTGAGTAATTTATATAAGATAATAGCTAACATCTTGTCTCTAAGGATTTAGAAAGTGCTCCCTCTCATAGTTTTCTCAAATCAAGGGGCCATTGTGCCAAATAGACAAATTATAGATTACATCTCAATTGCCAATGAACATGTTAAGGAAATGAAAAGATCTACGAAGAAATGAATAATTTGCAAGTTGGACCTGAATAAAGCTTGAAGAAATAGTTGGTTAGCCACGAGTGTGGGGTTCCATACCCACACTCAGGCTCTAGTGTGTGGTTCCATACCCACACCTAGTTGTTTCTAATTTCTTTTATTAGTTGTTTCTAATTTCTTTTAAGTTGGACCGGCTGGCCTTATTGTTTCTAATTTTTGTTTTAGTAGGACTAAGACTTTATGTTTATTTCCTATTCTTGTAAGGAACCTAAAGCTATAAATAAAGAAGTGTATGGGGCGGCAGATCATCAATCACCGAACTCCTTCATTCTTCTCCTCCTCTCTTCACTCCTCACTCTTCTTTTCTCTCTCTCTCCTTCTCTTCGAACCTGTATTACTTCTCTAATCACACAGTAACAGTTCTACTTCTTACAAGTTGGTATCAGAGCATTCGATCTAGGGTTTTCTCATGTGGATTTAATTCAGCCGACCACATGAGAATTATTTAGGGCTGGAAGTTCAGAAAGATCCTTACTTTGGCTGATTCTTGGAGGTTACAAGAAGTTTTTTAGCAGCTATCCTAAGATTGAAGAGTGCTTATTGTAATCAGGAAGAATCAGGCAGGAATTGAGTGATCAAGATCGATTCTTTGATCAAGATTGGAGGTGCCGATCAGCTTTTTTTTTTTTTGTTTCTTGATTCTTTGACCAAGATTCAAGAGGTGCCAACAGTAGTTGATTGATCAAGTTTGAAGACTGAAGGAAGCAATCAGTTTTCTAGGCAAACTTCTCCTTTTCTTGAGGCCAACAGCAGTAAAAGCAATCAGTTTTTTTCTGGGCAAGTTCCTTCTTTTCTTGAGGCCGGCAACAGTAATGGCTACTTTTCTTTAGAAAGCTAGTTCTTTTTTTTTTTGAGATTGATATTCAAAAAGTCATTGCTGTTCATTCAGAGAAGTGCAGCTAGAAAATCTCTTCTTTTTCACCTATTTTTAGGAGAAAAAAACCTAAAGTCCAGGACAGTAATTGATTGTTATCTGGTTCTGGGTAACTGCAAAATCCTTGTCCTAGGTTGGCTATTATCAGCCTTGGGGTACAGTTTTTCTTATTACAGTAGGTTTCCTAACCTAGAATGGAGTTCAAGAACCAAGGGGAAGGTGTTTTTTGGACTGGTGGTTCAGGTAACATGACTGAGAACACCTTTCAGATTACAACTGTTAAATTTGATGGAACAAACTACTTAGAAATGGGCCCAATCAGCCATGATGGCTGTTGGGGGTAGAGGAAAACTGAACTTGCTAGGGGATGTGAAGGAACCAACCAAGACCCTACTTATGCTAAGTGGGTTCAAGAGAACTTTTTGGTGATGACATGGCTGTGCAACTCTATGCAGTCACACATCAGCCGAAACTACTTGTGGGCCAAAACAGCTAGGGAAATATGGGAAGTTATGAAGGAAACCTACTCTCAGCCCCTTAATGTTTCTAGGGCTTATGAGCTGAAATGTGAGGTTAAAAATATGAGGCAAGGAGAGAAGCAGTCTCCGTTTACTTTTCAACCTTAAAATCCCTGTGGCATGAAATTGACCATCTTGAAACAATTGAATGGGAGAGTCAGAAAGATGCACA